CCATCGAGTATTCTAAACATATGCTGCTTTTAAAATTCTTATAACTTTGCAGCTGAATTGTATATGGAGCAAGTGCGAAGAAAACTATGCTCAATAATAAACCTAAAAAGGAAAAAAAAAGGGGGTTAGCAGATTAGTGAGAGCGAAAAGAAGGAGTTAGTTAGGAGTGAATGTAACAGCAGACTGCTAAGCAAAGAGTGCAGCGAGAGCGAAAAAAAAATTCTTAACAAACTCTTTCGGTGACTATTTAAAATCTGAAATCTCTCACAAGTAAATCTTCTGTCCTTTGATATCGGTTTTCCGAAAACCCATATATTTTCTGAAAGCTTATGTCACAAGTAGAAAAACTGTGAAATCTTAGGGGCGGAGGAACAAGCGTTTAGGAGCTATAGGACCCACAAAGTATCAATAAAATGCTGGAAAACATGATACCAAACGTCACTAAAATGCTCCTTTCATGTATTTATATGAACTAATAATATGGTAAGAAGGTGAAGATCTCAACATAAAGGAAAAAACAACTCGTTGAAAAGAAACGATATACGTTGGGATGATGAAAATGAGACTTGTTACCGACGTCAGACAAAATCTGTTACAAGAGACAATCAATGTGCAATTCATAAAATAAACATTGAGACGGACAGAAGAAAAGTTAACGTTGGGCACGCTTCTCAAAAGCGATAGCCTCACACTTTGCACTCTCATCATTTGTCAGTGAATCGAAGCAGTAATCCATCGGCCCAATCCACATGTCAGGTTCGTCGTCCAAATATCCGCCCTTATAAAAAGCATACTTAATCAAGTTCCTGAAACGATGAGCGCTGATCTGATATAATGAAAAATCTGCAGAGCCAGAAAAAACTATCTCTCCCCCCCAGAAAAGAACCCCCCAAAAACCTATCGTCCCCCAGAAAAAACTATCGCCCCCAGAAAACTATCCCGCAGAAAAAACTATCGCCCAAATGCGTTCCATCTCGATAATGATTGTGTCCATTATGTAACGAACAAAAGATTTGTAGTGTCTGAAGAAATTAATATCTAGATCTGGATCATTTCGGTACATCCTTCAGATACCAGTTCTTTTTGTAGGACTTTACCTTCAGGTACTTCGGAAGCAGACAATGCATGAACATACAAGAAACAGATGTCATTACAGGAATATGTCCGTCTGTACACACTTCAATGATACTTTGTGGGTCCTATAGCTCCTAAACCCTTGTCCATCTGCCCCTAAGACTTCACAATTTTTCTGCTTAAGCTTTCAGAAAATATATGGGTTTCCGGGAAACCGGTATCAAAGGGGAGAAGGTTTACTTGTCAGATTTCTTTTATGACATTATTTTTATTAATTCTTTTAACATTTTCTGAACTGGAAAATGATTGCATAAACATAGACCTATCAGTTTTTAACGGTAATATCAATCATTTTCACTTTAAAGCATCAAATTTCAATGTCTCTCTTAGAGCTTTTTAGAAAATCATTATGCTATGCTGATCATTATCCAACGCAGCTTTTTCACTAAACTAAAATTTACTTGAGAGCTGTCTTTTTAATGAGTATGATTAATTTAGATATGACAGGAAATTTAACGTCTGTGATTCAGTTTCTAATACCATTTGCTGCGCACCATGGTGAAAATGGAGTAATTTTTATTTTTCAAACTTATGAATACAAAACATAAAATTATCTTAATAATTTGTAAACTTGAAATCTTCCTTTGATTTATCATGCTTCCCACAAGAAAAATTAAATTATCTGTATTAAATGCTGAATACCATAACTTTGTATCAGGATGAAAAAAAGGTCCTAATTTTAAATTATTAAAATGTAATAAAAGCCAATCACATCAAACTGCTAATTCTTACATTTTGTGTGTCTTTCATTACCAGTTACTATTTCTCAGTTTCTGCTGTACATAATAAAATTATTTAATGGAGCTTCCCAATAATATATGAAAATTAAAACTCTAAAGAATCTGAACTAATTCTCATTTTCACTGGAGGAAAGCTCTTAGCAAACCGATATGATAATAAAAACTCCATTTTCAGATATAAAAATGAAAAATCAAGCAAAAGCAATGTGTAAATAGTGTAAATATTGTTACTTGCGTGTGGGTTCGTGATGGATTGAATGCTCACAGAACTCAATGATAAGTTAATAAAACTTATTTTTTTAAAAGAAACACTTTACACAGTGGCGTAGCTAGGGTTTTCAGCGCCCGGGGACAACTGAAGAATTTGCGTCCTTTTGTGTGTGCCAAGAATGGGAAACATACCATTAAAAAAATTCGTAGCATCAATTTGGAGCCCCCTGGATGGTGCGCCCGGGGACAGATGTGCCCTCTTGCCCCACCCTAGCTACGCCACTGACTTTACAGTTCTGGAATTTTTATCAAAAGTACTCATGCAGCTCTCCTTAGTAGGAAAAAGCACAATCAATAGACGTTAGCTACTAACAATGTCAGACACAACACATGGCAAAGCGTATCTAAAGAGCGAAGCTTGCGCGAAGATCTTTCAAAACTCTGAACTCTGCTCTGAACTAAACCGAGAGCTAATGCTCTCTACGGTCTTATACAGTTTTAACCCGTCCACCGAGAAATCTACAGTACCTTCATTTCTTGAAATTGCTGGAAGGCATATACAGTTGCAGTTACATATGGGATCAGACCAATTAGAGTTCGAGATCGGACCAAAATGTCGTCAAAGGTTCGACAAGTTTCGCTTTTTTGGCGATTTCTCAGACGGTTGACAAGTTTTCCGTTTTTTGGCGATTTCTTCCCAAATTTGGTCGAATTTGTCGCCAAAACCATTCCCACCTTGACATTTATTTCAACGTCAGATAATCCTGCAATTGTTATATTCCAGGCAGAGCTTCGTTTCTCGAGCAATTCATGTTACTTTATCAAGAGATACTACAATTTACAAAACAAGATTACTTACATATATATAAAATTCGCAACATTTCCCCGTTCCCAAGAACTACGTCCTGGTATTACGGTAATATCGGTCTTCTGAGGAGTGGTACTAAAATAGTAGTTTGGAGCAAATGATTTATGCTGCCACATCTGTGGGGAGGGAACATTATACGAAAAAGAGTTTGATATGTCAAATTGCACCTTAATAGACTGGAAACCCGAAATAACTGTATGTGAGAAATCTGAACTGCATGCGGGAAGTATCTTTTTAGAGAAATGGTACAATAATAATAATAATAGCAGATGAAAGCTTCTTCCTAAATGTAAAATCTGACTGATTTGGTTGCGTAGAAAATTTTGCGCATTTCATTAATTTAAACTGACTGTGCCAAGATCTTCTATTCCAGAATCAAAACTAATTTACAGATTAATGCGGATCCTTGGTTGACGAAATAATTTTATTTGGAAGACTTTGCTTCCTCATTGCAGAAATATATCGAGGTTAATCACACTCAGATTTGAGATATTCTGCGAAGTTTTCGCTAATCTTAAGTTGAATTTTATTTAAATTTTACGTTTTTCTTGTAGTCTATAAGTAATAGTTAGACTTTATTCCAATAAATAAAAGTAATGCAGATTGCCATATGCATTACTTCCTACTGGGAAAAGGAAGCATCTGAATGCACTGTGCATTATATTTCTTAGCATTCTTCTAACTGCAACCGTACGTCTTTGTTATTATTGTTATTATTAGTCGAAGCATGGGTTATGTGGGGAAAATTTTTTAAAAATTATAATTCAACCCTTTCAATGAATGGTATAAATTTTTGGGTATATGTAGGTGTAGCTGCAATAGCTATAGCTGGAACATACATACTGTGGGGTCCCTCTACACGACCTAAACGAAAAAAAAAAGGTATGTTTCATATATTCTGTAATGTTTACAGTTGTATCTATGCCATAATGTCTTCGCGTTAAATGATGTTTCTTGAAAATTTTTATGTTTAGGAATGTTTTAAACAGAACAGTTAAGTCATGGTAATTATGTATGTTGAGAATTTTTCGCAGTAATTACGGTTTCCGTTCACGGAATCGGTATAATGAAACACGCTATGGGAATGTGTTACTTGTTTTAAAAGGTTTATAATCTAGACTGAAAATTTTTGGTTATTTAACCTGCATAAATTTTGTTCATATCACAGATGCCGTATAAATATTTTAATTTTTAAGGACTGTACAGAAAACTCTAATTTTTATTTGGTGTTTAAAAAATCTTGCTCTTAAGCTTGAAACTAAGTTCACGCATGGAAACTGTGTTTGTTCATTTAGAAATCCATATATTTCTGAAAGAAAAAATGGGTGTCATCATCCAAAATTTCCAAAAAAAGCAGTCAATGATCATAAATTCAGATTATAGTACTAATATATTCAGTACCATATTTTGAAGTTGGAACTATTCTCAGATAGGTTACATAAGATTAAAATTAGTAAAGCTGGATCATAGCTTGAAAGCTGATTATTTGAGATTGAAAAAATTATGTTGGTGAATTATCTAAAATTCACAGTAATTGGTAAATTTTGCTGTTTTATTAAATAAGCAATTTAATCAGTCTTTGTGAAGAATTATTAATTTTTGACTTCCCCGCTGTAAATTTTTTGTGAACTCACACTTATTGTGAATACCAAGTTTCTTATATAGAGGCATTTGTTTATGTGGTGATTTTTATTAAATTTTGAAGATTATTAGTTGTTTCAGTTAACTATTTTTATTTCTTAAATGCTAAATTTATTTCTCAAGCCATGGCAGATCTTCCATTTGAGTTAACTTTTATTCACATTGTTTGCTGTAATAAAATGGAGCTCACTTAATGAATTTTTATGCATGTTAAATTTTTTCTAGGTAGTATTATATCAAAATTCTCTATATATTATAATTTGATGAATACTAAAACTTATTCTAATGATTTATAAATATTAAAATAATTATTGGGATTACATATGGTTATAAGATGTCATTTTCTAAGGTATCATAGTTGTAGGAAATGACTGTTTTCATTTTTTGAACTGAAGTGAAATTCATTTTTTGTTTTTTAACAAGTTTACCATAAGTCACATCTGCTTGTAATTTTTAATAATTTTTTCATGTATTTTTTAGAATTCCCTAAATTTTTTTTCGTATTTCATTTGCATAAAATATCTTTATTAAAATTTACTGTGCACTATAGGTTGTCACATTACTAATGTAACCAATATACATATTCTAGATTAATACAGATTCCAGTGATATTCTTCATACTGCAAATTTTGAAGTTATGTTTGTATGTATGATACAGCATTTTTAAAGAGATCTGGAGTATAAAGGGTTTCGAAATTTTACAGAATGTACATTTGGGTAAAAGTATAATAGGGTACCCCTTGGCGAATTTTGGCGGTACATGGATACTGAGTTTGCGCAATTCTTTGACTCATTATTTTGGCTTGCGAAGAAAAATCGCCGCTTTGCAAGCCAAAATAACAAGTCAAAGAATTGCGTAAACTCAGTATCCATGTAGACATTGACTTATTTTTACTTAAAAAAAATACCCGTATTGCACAAAAATGGCATTGCACACTCATTAGACTTTATCCATGTACACGTCAACCTATTTTCACTTAAAAAAAATCTCCGAATTGCACAAAAATGGCATCGCATGCACAACCTCGGCATAGTGCACTACTTCGCTATGCCCATGTACACAGTCGACCTATTTTCACTTAAAAAATGTTAGAGAATCCACAGAATTCGGCACGCGCGCAACCTTCGGCATTGCGCACTCCCCTTACTTTGTCCATGTACACATCAATATATTTTCACTTAAAAAGTCATAGAAGCACCAAATTCTACAATATAGGCAAACAAAAAACACATAATCTCAATAAAATACATTTTAAACCAAACAATAAAATCTACTAAAAGCAAATATTCACTTACCATGATTTTCGAGTTCGCTTCGTACACCCAGAGCTACGTAAAAATCAAAATATTATTCATACTCAAATGACTTTTTTCAAACCAGGTACTCTTTCTGATCGAACGCTTCACATTGTGACCATCTGAACCTTTCTTCCTACAAACCCATTCAAATCCATCTAAACGGTTTTTACATTCGACTAGATGCATATCCTTCCTACATACAGGACACTTATAATGGCTACTAAGTAAACCGTCATTTACACACCAGTCAATTAAAGCTCTTTTCCCTTTCGCTCCAAATCGTACAGAAACTTCAAATTAATCTTACTACATTTGGCCATTCTACCGTCTAAAGAATCAAACCAACACACACACCACAAAAACGCTTACAAAACATCCCATGATACAAAATTTCCCAGAATCATGCACCCGATTACATCACAATAGGGTTTCCATAACATTCAACTACTCTGGCTACCATAAATGAAACAAATTGGCGATAAATCAAACAACAACTTTGCCATAATACAAGGGGTACCTTAAAGTCTACTCTATCCTACATTTGTTATATAGAGGGGATTTCGCTACAGAACAGTGTGATTGAAGGAAAGAATGTCAAAGTTTTTAAATTCTTTAACTGTATGAAATGGAAGAATATATTTTTTAAGACAAAATTAGAATTTTTAATAATTTCAGCAATGATGTCAAATGAAGAGCCTCAATCAGTTCTTAAGTAGTTGGAGTTTATTATCAGAAGAGATAAGGATTTATAAACCTTGAACGCAAAGTCATTAAAAATGTAAAAAGCCAGTTTTTGCACAGTAGAATGACAGGTCATTAATTCGTAGAGTTAAGACTCTTCATGATGAGCAACTATGCATTATTGATTTTCATTTCACCACTTCGCCAACTATTACTGCTCTGTCAAAGTCTTTTCAACGTTTTGTTTGTGAACTGCTATTGTTGGACTGAGGAAATGAAATTTATGTTTCATAGTAGAATATCTGTAACTTTCTTTGGTTGATCTTTGGATTATGGTAACTTGGTGAAAATTTGGCGACTAACTCTGCTACAGCAACCCTCTATTTTTTTTTTCGCCATTTTGTCTTCATGAAGTAAAGACATGTTTCTTTTCTTTTTACTTACTGAACACTTTTTCCAACAATCTAATAGCCGAATTACACTTATGCTAGAAATTTTATGTAACAAAACTGCTTAATCATGACAAATATTAACTGCAAAATTGGGAAAAAGTGCATAATCGCAAACTCCTTGCGCGTTTTTCAGAATAGCACATACACATAAACCATTTACACATCGACTTATTTATTTTTACTTTAAAAAAACATCCCAGAATTGCACAAAAATGGCATTGCACACACTCTTAACTTTATCCATCTACACTGCTATTTTCTCATAAATTACAAAAATTTGCACGAAAATGCAGGAAAATTTTCTGAATCTTTAAACTAAGTAAAAAGCACATATATGAAATTACCTGATCGCGAAAAAGCATATACCCTTTCCAAGGATGAACATTTCCACGTATAAAATAAATAAAATATTCAAAAACTTTTACCTCTAAATCATCTATTATATTATAAACGTCACCAACGAATTTCTACCGCGAACATTAAAAATGGTTACAAATACTTAGTGTCAAATATTTAAATTATTTCCATGCATGTTTACTTCAACTGAAACGTATACCAAATTCCTACAAACATAAAATTCACAAAATAACTATCATTTAATTAAAATATAACTAAACCATGTACACGTCGACTTATTTTTACTTAAAAAAACATTCCAGAATTGCACAAAAATGGCATTGCGCACACTCTTCACTATACCCATGTACACTGCTTTTTTCTCATAAATTAGAAAAATTTCATGAAAATGCATGAAAATACTCAAACGTATTCCAAAATACTACAGCCCACCAGCGGCCGAGCGGTAAAGTCGCTGAACACTGGTAGTTCGGTCCGAGGTTCGAATCCCGCGAACGGGCTGGCTGCATGGGTGTTTTCGTGGTTTTCCCCATGTGTAACGTGTATACGAGCCAGTTTCCCTTAGAAAGTCCTCCACGAAAGGCATCCCTCCCCTTAGGCAGATAGCCCTAGTGTGCTTTGCCATAATTAAATACACACCAAAATACTACAAACATATAACTCACAAAATCACGATCATTAAATTAAAATATAATTGAATTAAAAAATGCTACTTAAAATATAAATAAGCACATACATTAAATTAATAAAAATTAGATTACAATCCTAATTATTTTAAACTAAATCATTGCTAATAACAATTTTCCAATAATACCATATTAATTTATTTACTCCTTACATTTAGAACAATGCATAAAAATAATATCCTCAAATGATTAAAAATACTAACTTACCTAATCTTCAGAATCTTCATTACATGGCACGCACACTTCCCTACAGAAAGAGTTCCAATCGGCTGCAGTACTACTGATAATTTCTAAATCCCAAATCCAGTAGTCAACTGGCAGTCTATTCACCCAGTAATAAGAAATTAATAAAATTTCACCCATATTCAAACTACTTTCAGCAAACCACGTACCCTTCCGTACACTCCGTTTCACAAAATGTCCATTTTCACCAGATTTCTTGCACCGCCATTCAAACTTATCTGTAATATCCTTCCTTTCACACAATCTCAACTTATTATTATTATCAGATAAATGCATTAAAAATTTAGAATTCACTTTACATAACGCCATGCAATCCGAAAATTAATCAACATTATTTCACACAACACACAATGAAGCTTTATACAAAATAATATAGTACTACAGATATTTTTCAAAATATTCCCCCCTTTTCTGATTAAAGAACTGTAATTTGTCCATTAATGTCACATGACATATCTCATAATCTCTCATTTCCCTCACACAAAATAATTCGTAATCGGAACTGAGTACTTCTCACATTATT